TATCTGTCTCTTATACACATCTAGATGTGTATAAGAGACAGCACACACACACACATATATTTAAGAGAGGTCTTAAAATGTGCCATGTCAGCAAAAAAAGATATCATCTGGGAACTGAAATTCTACTGCCACTTTAGTCACCAGAAAGCCTTTGTGGCTATGACATGAAAGGTTTAAGTTCTGGTGGAAGCTGAGTGGTTTTTTTTAACTTTCTTTGTTAGATTTCTCCTCTGTTGCATTTCAATTAAATAAAGGTGTGTTTTTTTTTATTCAGTGGGCATGATGGAAATAATCAAAATGATCTGAAAATCTTTGCACATAGTACTTAACTTTAAAGCGGAAAAGCCTCTCTTAGTCACAGTAATGTGTGAAGAAATGTTATTGCATCTGCTTTTGCCAATAGAGGTCGTTGGTATTTAGCGCGAACCATGGTCGATTTAGTTCTTTAGCTTTTCAAACTTATTTAATGTGTGTATGATAGAAGCTTAACTGGTGTGAATGCTCTAGCATATCAGGATGATTGATGTGCATAATCTAAACTTCTTTACTTATTTATTTCACTCTAGATGGATTTAAAAGTGAAGATAAAGCCAAGATGGCAAAACGGCGACAGAAGGAGGAAATGCCTCAACCGATGACAAGCAAAACAACCACAGAAGTTGCTATCGTAAGTCTTAAACCAGGCAATCACTGCGCACCACAGTCATCGGTCGACACCAATCTATAAAGAGCGCAATGCGACGACGTGCGCGCAACGGATCGTTTTTAATGATATCCATTCGGACTGCTACCGATAATTAACAAACGGCATTGCGTTGTCTATTGCTCACAGGGAACGGAGTTGGACTCGTCATGCGAAAGTCGTACGATGCAATGAGTGCCTGGCTTTAACATTATTATAATTTCTCTTAAATAATGTATGAAAAAAAAACATTTTATTTGCTTTAACATTATTATATTAAATTTCTCTTAAATAATGTATGAAAAAAAAACCATTTTATTTGCTTTAACATTATTATAATTTCTCTTAAATACTGTATGAAAAAAAAACATTTTATTTGCTTTAATATTATTATAATTTCTCTTAAATAATGTATGAAAAAAAAACATTTTATTTGCTTTAACATTATTATAATTTCTCTTAAATAATGTATGAAAAAAAAAACATTTTATTTGCTTTAACATTATTATAATTTCTCTTAAATAATGTATGAAAAAAAAAAACCATTTTATTTGCTTTAACATTATTATAATTTCTCTTAAATAATGTATGAAAAAAAAAAACATTTTATTTGCTTTAACATTTTGCAAAACCATAGACATACAATACAAAGATATAAAAATGGTTATTAAATGACATATCAGAGTTTACCCTCTAAGTTCCAAGAAAAGGATTTACATCCTGACAGGTCAGTTTGACTTTGAGCTATTACTCCTTATTCAGGAAAGATGCAAATGGGAGAGGGGTGGTGAGCATTAACATGAAGATGAGTAGGTCTCAATTAATTGCCACACAATTTTTTGATGATGCAAAGAATAATAACAGTAGTAATATATATGATATCTTATGGTACTTCACTTCAATATAAGTGGCACACTCCATGATAGATTTTGATGATGTAGGTGTTAATTTCTTAAGGAATATATGTCAATGCCCTTTTAATTATTGTGTATAAAATATAAGATTGGTATCACTTTTCCATTTGTTAATTGGCAACAACAATATTGTTGTGTGTACTTTTTACCTGAAAGATAATAACTTACTTTATAAATTAGTCATCACATTTATTAACTTAGCATTCTCAATGACAATGTAATAGGTATTGACAAATATTATAGCGTACAAAATGTGTATTAAGTGAAATATTATTTCTGGGTTTGGAATTTTGCAATTCCATATCTGGGGGTCACACATCCTAAAAATCTCCCCAGTTGTTCCCCCCATTAAAAATGTTCAAAGTTGTTCCCCCCATTAAAAATGTTCAAAGCAAAAATATCATGTTTAAGTAGAACAAAATCACCCTATTTTGTGAGCTGGTGCCCCTCACTTTTTTATCGAGCGCCATACTTCATGTTTGTGCCCCCATCAGGTTCCTTCCCCTCCCCCTCCCACCTCTTTTCAAGACTCCTAGATAAGCCACTGGAAATTCAAATGATTTAAACACTGGAATTGTTAATGTGCTACACAATAAATCCAAGAACAATAGGCAATTGATCTTGCATAGTTGAATTATCTTTTGCAACATAATGATGAGGATCATCAGTAATACTCTCATTTATACATTGTTGGATCTGTTATACTCTGTATTCCTAATCTACCGCCGGTTTATTTATCTCCTTGTTTTGAAATGCAATATGCCTAACGCACTATTGTCACAGCTTCAAAGTCTACTAAAACGCTAGTAGCCATGAAGGCCTATGGATGCTAATCTTGGTAATAGAACAAAACATTAAAAAAACTGGGGCATCCTGACCAGGCACGACATGGTTTATATGCTGACTTTAGTTTTGCATTATGTTTCAGGTTTCAATATTATTCTAATGCTTCGAGGAAAAATATCCACTTTTAAACAATACATACATATAATGTAAACATTGGTAATAGAACACAACATTGAAAATCCAAGGCATGCTAACTACTACTTGGTTTATATGGTGACTCAGTTTTGCTTTTTTTTTCAAGTTTCAGTTTTCAATATTATTCTAAAGCATCAAGGAAAAATATCCACTCGTAAACAATACATGTACTGTAATATAAACACACAAAAAAAATAGTGCATTAACTCTGCATTATGTAGGGCCATCCAAGATTCTTATGGCAAGTACAGTAGAACCTCGTTTTTACGTACCCCAGTTATACGAACCCTCGGTTTTACATACGCCTCGTATGGACGATGACGTCATCAAAAACCACGAAAATATTCAAAACAAATGGCCCTTTTGAGAGCAACCATAAGTAAAAAGACTGTAACAATAAACTATAACAATAAACAAACCATAATGTAACGTATTTTCATTGAACAGTAACGTTGATTGAGTCTAATACCGGGTTGTTATAATCTAAAACCACGTGAACTGAGTGAGATGAACAACTACCGATGGTGCTCAAAATACTGTAATTGCTTTCCTCCTTAGCTTCGTGTGGCAAACCATGAAGAACTCGTCTGGTCGAATTTTCTACACGAAGCTGAGTAGACATAGTTTCGTACACAAACGCTAATTGGTTGGCTCGCGCAGTGCATAGCACATGGTTGCAGCTAGCTCAGTCGGCTAATCTGGTGGTAGCCACTGTGTGTGCGCTGAACCGTGAAGATCTCTAGGTCCCCGGTTCAATTCCCATCGCTGTCTCTCCTTGTGTTTCAGCTGAAATATTAGTTACAATAGCGCACCGTCTTTTGGATGAGACATTTAAGCTGTTGGTCCTGTGTGCAATATGGCCCATGTGCACGTTAAAGAACGCAGTACACTCTTCGGAAAACAGTAGGGGATTGTCTCCCGGTGTACTGCCCAATCACCACCAGAAGGACCCCACTGGAAATAAGTCTTCTTCTAGACTTTCGTGGGCTATCCTTGGTGTTTACACCGAATAAATCCACTCCAATGCTGTTTCACGTACACGAACGCTAATTGGTTGGCTCGCCCAGTGCAGCGCACATGGTTTTAGTTTGTCTCAACAGGCCCAGACAACACCTCAGCTCTGTTGTTTAGAATAGGAATGAAGGGGAATTTCCAAGTTATACCTTTGTCGTATAGGTAATCTTCCAATATTTTCATGTTCTTTATTTTAGTTAAATAAAAGATATAAAGTGATGGATTAATACACTAGACACATGGTTTTATTTGAACACTGTATTATGACATCTTAAAGTGATGAATAAAAACACCTAGAGGCTAGGTCTAGCCTAGGTAACATCATTTGTTCATACATACATTTATTGAGCATTACATACGTATTAGGTCAAAGGTTACCAAAAATTTAACCCAACCTCTATTTTACGAATCCCCTGATTTACTGTAGTACTGTAGTGCAGCTGTTAGAGCTACCCTCGTGAAATAAAGTTGAAATAAACTAAAAAATAAAATACGTACGCCCTCTGGTCCTGTACCGTACATAAAATCGAGGTTCTACTGTATATAGAGGTATTGTAATTGAGAAAGGGATCGAGTTTGCTTTAAGTACTTGCTTAATATTAGTTGTAGGGGAAATAAGTGGATTAAGTTTAAATCTCTGAGAAAGAGTAAGTGAATGTGGGAGTGAAGGAATTAAAAGGTTCTTGCTCGAAATGGAAGATGAGATTATCTGTATGTGTGAAGTCATGGTTCGGATAGGAGGTAAAAAAGTCGAGGAGGTGGTCATTGACCTAACTACGTTACAAATGAACTTGATTTAGAAGTATAATTATGCCTTATTTCAAAAGAAGTGATTTTGAATTAAGAAAATACAGTGGGATACATATATACTGCTGTACATCCTGGTACCATTATCTGCCAACAAATCATAAGAAAAAAAAATTTAAATAAAAACGAAGTAAATAAAATAATAACAAAAAAATAAATAAAAATGGAGAATGATATAGATGCAGGTCTGCCCACAAATGGAGTCCTTTTTCTGGTATATAGACTGCATGAAATTCTAAAGGTTTCTACTGCCAGAAAGTAAAAAGTAAATGTGAAATCTACACAAAAACAAACCACACACAGTGGGTAGACTCATGACAGTTTTTTACATTAATAGTACATGGGGAAAACATTTGCCAATTCTGATATTTACTTAGATGTTTGGATAAACCCCTTACTGTTATTACCTCATTCTTTCCGACAAGACGTTAGGACGTTGGCTCTGTATGGATAACGGCTCTGTTCACGATAAATAATCAGTATGCTATTTGGAAAAGATAATAGATTGTCTCCTGGTGTACTGTCGAATTTCACTTCAATACAATAACATTAAATTTAACAATAACTAAAATTTGAATACGCGCCAGTAAACACCTTAAAAAACCCCTAAATATGGCCATTCTTCCTTTAATACCCTTGCTCATAACGGATCGTTTTTTTGGGGGGTGGGGGAAGATAAAACAAATCAGAATTTAATAATCTTTACAATGATTATAAATTTTTTATTAAATTCATAACACATTCATCAGACTTTTGATGTAAATCAGACACCCTCATGTTTTTTTCAGAGTAAAAACTGTAGAAATCGGCCAATAATATTCTTCCTTTAATAACTTTGCTCATACCGGATCGTTTTTTTGGGGAGGGAAAGATAAAACAAATCGGAATTTAATAATCTTTACAACGATTATAAATTTTTAATTGAATTCATAACACATTCATCAGACTTTTGATTTATATCAGACACCATGTTTTTTTCAGAGTAAAAACTGTAAAAATCAGCCAAAGTCGCTTTTCTTTAATATACATCCTTCTAGCGGTGAAAGTAGCTGGTCGATTTTCTCCAAGAAACACCATTCGAAAACATTATTTTTCTTCTAAAATCATTAGTCTTATCGGTCGATTTTCTCTAAGAAACGCCATTTGAAAACATTATTTTTCTTATAAATCATTAGTTTTATCGGACAAATCAGATCTATGAAGTCCGTTGAAAACTCCTCCATAGACGCTTATGCATTAAATCTGATGCTTGCATAGATTCAGCGCTCTCTTAAATATCGGGCAATATGACTACATTATCCATATTTTTAAACACTAAGATTGTGATCATAGGCTAGTGATAAAGATAGAGATTCTTGTCATGTAAGTTTTATAGTTTTTTGGTACGAGCAATTTATAAATGTCAGTTTTTGTCAAAAAACAACATGGTTTTCTGAGCGGTTTGCGCGTCGCCACCGAGGTGAGCTGTACTATTCCATTTTCTAATGTGTTAGGCTACTGCATGTGTGAGTGTGATGGAGAATTGCAGTGTGTGCTAGGCTTGTTGTAGTACAGTAGTTTGATAACAAGTATTATATATTTGTATTGAAACATGAATGAAATACCTTATAAATTTATTACTGAGCTTGTTTAAATTGTAGTCTGTGGAAACACCCTAAATTATAAATGAACTGTTCCAAATGAATATACGCGTTTGATGCATCGACCACAGTGAAGCGCACATTGTGTGTTGGCCCTTCATTGAGAGTGTATTTAGTGAATTGAATTGCACTACTTAAAAAATGTTATCATAATGTTTTCCTAACATGTCTGTGTATGTTTGGCTGGGATGTGTTGTGTAAGTAAAATTAATCGCTGCTTATATGCAGTACAGTGATTTATCTAAAATAATATATCAAGTCAAATTTCAGATTAACCTTACTACCAAGTTTCAACAAATCAATTAAAGTAATTAAACAAACTGTCAGCAAATAAAGTAATGATATGAATTTATACCTGAATGCTCACAAGTTTATGTAAAACTGCCAGCTATCGCTTATTCATTCATTTATACATCCATTCATTTTTATATATTTTATATTATTTATTTAGTTTTTTACATCATTTTATATATATATATACTGTCTCTTATACACATTATTTATTTATATTTGTTTATTTGTTTAATTTATATTTTGTTAATCATGTAATTTATTTATTTGTTTAAACATGGTTTAATTTATTATTTATTTATTATGTTTTATAAGTTTTTGTTCAATTATCTCTTCATAAAGCTAGGTTTACATTATGTTCTTGGTGGCCATGGCAGCCACGTTTCAGGTAACCATGAGCAAAACGGGATGTACGTGAGACAACTCGGGGGAACGACATGGGAAACATGATTTTTAAACTATCACAAAATTTGCCACAGCAGTAATGGTGCAGATGAGAAACCTAGTAGGCCATAGTAAAACAGGGTGAATGCAACAAAACGTGACGCATGTAATAGGCCGTAACAAAACATGGAGCTGTCTGTAATGGGACTGGAAGCATAAATAGACAAAAAAAAACCACAAATACAACAACAAGAAGCAATCGACTAAGACCAAGCTGTGGAAGAAGGCAAAGCTGTGCTACCGAAAATGTTCTGTCTTCCAATAAACATTCACGCACCCACATGGAGCTTGGCCTTCTCATCCGCCTTCTTCCTGCCTGCTGCCCTCTGGCCTTCCCTCTCTGCAAATGCTGCTGGCCTTCTTCTTGCTGATGCAAAGACTGGATGTATGCACCCAGCAAACATGCAAACACAAAATCTTTATCTTGGGCATTCATGATGTTGTCTCGTCGAAGTCTCAGGATACAATGATTGCTATTGCCTGTGAGGCCTTCTTTTTATACTGTGGGTACAAACGTGCTCCAATGCTACCCTGCATCCGTAGAAATCCTTGACAGAATGTGAAAAACATGTCAGACCTTGATCCGAACATGAGAAACGTGAGGGACCCATCAGAACATGAAGGGCCGGGAGGGAACGTATTGGCATCTTTAGTAGACTGCGTGCCAAACTGTAGTGCCCCTTGTGCCTCCGGGACTCAGTAGCCCCTTTCCCCCTACTACTGATAGACTGTGAGAAAACAGCAAGACCTAACAAACTTGAATACGAAGAAAAAATGGCCAAAATACCACAGTGCCCTACGTTTCGGACAAACAGGGCTGCTGTGGCCACCGGGAACATAATGTAAACCTAGCATTACTCAAGGATAGCACTTACGGTGTTAACTCAATTTAAAGCTCTGTCCACACTATGAAATTTTATGTGACAAAAAAATGTGATATGCCCATATTTGGTTATAATATGACATCATCATGCCCATATATGGACACATCACACAAATTTGTCACATAAAATTTGATAGTGTAGACAGAGCATAAGGCCGTTGTACTAAGGTAAAACAAAAAGGCATGTGTGACATTTAGCTCAGCATAATAATTATGACACCAACAATTGAGAGTACAACTTTAACCAGACTTTTTCATATTCTTTCCAGGCAACTCACAAGGCCTCTCTGACATTATCCCTCTACTGCCATGGGTTGTTAGCTGGCTTTGCTTTATGGCAGTGTATTGTTGTGTATTCATTAAGTCAGGATATAAGCACTTTACCTCTTGTGAATGGAGACAAAAGTTTTTTGATTCACTACAGTTCTTTGGCACAGCCGACCGTGACTATTTACTACCTCCTGTTAGCACTGTGCACTGTGTCCGTATTTGATAGGTAGGCAGCTTATTTTTTTACTACTATACAGCAAAAAACAAGGCACTTACTGCGCTCGGCGGTCGTCAGCCAACGGCTTCGTAAAACGTCCACAGGGAGCGGAGTTGGATTCGTCGGCTGACCGTCATATGACGCAATGTGTGCCTGGCTTAAATCTCTTATCAAATCAAATCAAATCAGTAACTGAGAAGCTTAACCACATAACAATATTTAATCGTTGCAAACACTTTGTGAATTGTTTTTTGCTGCATAAAAAAATGTTTATAATTCATATTCAGTGTGAATTTGTTACCTTCATTATTGATTATGATTAAATCTATAACGATTAATATTGGTAGCTTGATGACAAGATGATTGTCTTCAAATTTCAAAGCTCTTGGTTCGGACCCTTCAAAAAAATTAGGATTTCCACCTCCTCTTCTCTTCTTTGCTCGGTCATCATAATGAGATGTTTTTAAATTAGCACATAGCTTTTATTATGTCATAGGCAAATTTTAAAGAAATGCAATAATAATTATAATTAATTAGGCGAGACTCTTTTAATACCTAGTTTAGCGAACCCACCAGCTGCCAATAATGATAAAGTTTTATTTTTGGCCAATTAGCGTACCCACCGTCATGGAAAAATGAAAATTTCAGACAAAAAATTACTTAATTTTTATTACATCCGCCATTGCCTTGAAATCTAAAAAAATGAAATATATATATTTCTTCCTAATTATATAAATTTAAAGCATTTAACCATCCCATTACTACACTGTTTACATTCACCAATGAATTTTATTTTTAATTCCTCCTCCATTTGAATGTTTTTGCCAAAACTATTTGCTAAATAAAAAAACAAAATTTATTTATTTTTTCTGCCCTTCCTCTAAAAAAATAGGTTCACGAAACAAGGTATAAAAAAAAAATCTTGACTTATAAATAATAGTCCATGTGCACATCTACTTCAAAAGTACCCATTAATAATGTTTTTAAATGATTTAGTGTCTGAATTACCATTAGGATTAAGGGTAAGATTCATTAGTAAGAATTAATCTCAGGTTTTACTTGTAAACATATTTCTTTTTCCAGGTTTGACATTGCCAGACCAGACAAAAAGCTTTTCAGAGCCCTTTTGACTTTTAAATCGGGTGCAATAGCTATATTGCGTGAGTTGTATAATTTAACTATTCATCTTTGTATTCAAATTGTTTTCATTATATTACATCAATACCGTAACAATCTATTAATTATGTTGGATGATATATAACTATTAATTGATTAATAATTATTAATTCATGATTATTTAGCACTTATTGAATGTATATGATGCATTCTTTTACGGAGCATGTTCTTTTTACAGATTTTTCCAGAGTTTGAAATATACAATAAGTTTTCATGTTGTATATTGTGCAAAATGAGTCCTTTAACTTACTATCTCAAATATAGTGAAGGGCGGTGTTGCAAAATCAATAATTTATATGTACAATTTCAGAGAGCAAGTAGAAAAATAAATCCCAGTAAAAGTTATATGATACAGACTTAAAAATTTCAACACCAGAGATTTCAGTATACCTACTATTATTTAAAAGAGGTAATTACATATTCTCAATATTTGAAGACTTTCTATGAGGAGGCTTGCACGAGGACCAAACCCAAACTATGCATACTTCACCCAGACTATTTTAATTGAGTATACCGTGATTGCTTGATTGATCAATTGATTAATTGAACATAGCTTGTAAATTTATGAATAACAGTAAAAGTTACATGATATAGATTTTAAAAGATCAACACCAGAATTTTTAATATCTACTACTATATAAAAGAGGGAATTATTGTCATATTTTTTGTGAGGAGGCTTGGACTGTGCATGCTTCAAGCAATCAATTTAATTGAGTACACTGATTGATTGATTGATATATTGATTGATTGAACATAGCTTATAAATTGATGAATAATTTTTCTTTTTTTGTTTTTTTAGTGTATTTTTTAGCACTAGTTTTCAATGTTGGTCTTGCTGCTGTTGATGATAGAATCAGCTTATTCACGGTATCTGGTGAGGAAGTTGATTTCTGGTAAGTAAAAAATTATATACATCCAAATATAATAATGGATTATGGAGTTAAATAGATAGGTTTAATGAAATTATATATTCAATGATCTTCAATGTTTCATGGTCCAAATAAAATTTATTTTGATGAATTTTAAATGACTATTTTTGCCAGCTTGTGTCATCACTATGCCCATGAATGAGGTTTGTGGCTGCGGGTTGGGGTTTGTGGCCAATCATCACAGGTTTATGGTCTATCACCAATACTGACTACTCCTTTCTCAGGGTATGTTCACACACACGGCGTAAGGCTGGCGTAAGCTTGGCGCAGCGCACGCCTCCGTGGTGTTATTAACGCTACCTGCAGACCCCAGATTAGTTAACGCCACGGAATCTAACGCCAGTGATGCTTGCATGATTTGACCTCATTTCAAGAGATTGACTAATCACGATTGCAATAGATTAGTTACTTTGATCCCCTTCCTGTGCTCTCTATAAATGAAATGGTAAAGGGGTTCTTTTCCTATTGCATTTTACTTAGTTTACAATGTACTGTATATGATTTGTTGATTATGTTTTGTAAGATATTTTAACCTATTTAGGCTGTCTATTAAAACCTGTAACACCAAAAATTGTTCGGCAATGCTAGCTGAAAAATCAGAAGTAAAATTTTTAATTTAAAATACAGTAATCATATAAGTTCACTTCGAACAATTCACAGATTTAAAAGTTTTAATGATGCACTGTAAATATTTTACTACAGTTTAAGAACCTGTACATTATTTAAAACTGAAAACTATTCCCCCATAGGCCTATATTACTGCTAGTATAATGCTAGTGTTAATATACCGAATGCCGTTTGTGTGAATTTTAATTCATAGATTAGCCATGTGTGTGAACATACCCACAGAACACATCCAGATTTACTGAGACCCATGGGAGACCAGAGAATTTCACTTAATGGGAATAGAGCTTAAAAAAATTCAAATTTGCTTGGAAATTTATAGTAGTCACATCGTTGTATAAAAGTATAGGAAAAGGAAATACTACTACTTAAAAACAACGGCCCACTGATAACCTGAGAATTAAAAGGCCGGGAACAGCGTGCAATGGATAAAAATAGTTTTTTACTCTCGTTTCATTGTTCCCTGTGCATATTAGGCTTCACATAATCCTTTGTGCACCTTGAGTCAGCTTAGATAATGTGTCCCAATCACAGTACACGGATCAAAGACTCTTGCATACCCAATCAAGCCACAGATTTGCAGGTGCCTAGGCCTGGAAATTCTAGAAAAATCTCAGTGTTTTGGGGGGTCGGGGGGGGGGGGGGCCAGTATTTTTTGAAGCATTAGCAAACCATTATGACTATATTCCCATGTTTAATCTTTAAGCGAGTTGAAATAGTTTTATTGGTGTTCCAACCAACATTATTCAAAATGAGTCAGCACAGCTATCTTTAGAATAGTTACACTGCATGTTTTGTTTACCCATGTTGTGTCACCGGACTCTGATTGTTAAACTTAATTATGAAGTGCTTTTATCTAGAGCCAATACAATATACATAGCACTCTATAGACATCGCCAAGTTGTGAAAAGATAGTATGATTAATAGCAGGGTAACACAAGCTTGCACAAAATTGGAAACTTCCCCTTTAATGCGAAAATACTTTTTAGGAAGAGTCAGTACACAGAATGTCATGATGTGACATTTACACACGACATTTGCTGTCTCTTATACACATCTAGATGTGTATAAGAGACAGGGCTTGGACTTATCATTTAAACTATAGCCTCAAATTCTTAATTTTTTTTTTTTTTTTTTTTAAGGTGGCCTGAGCTTAAGTGTCTTCGGACCTATACAGGCCTCCATTCATTTATCCAAAAAAAAAACCAATTTTTTTTTCTTCTGAAATGTAAATCTATTGATGATGAATAAAACATTAACAATCTGTCTTGTTAATGTTCCAATGTAAATTTTAATATTTAATATTGCACTATATTTTAATAATGATTTGTAAATTTTATTTGCTAGTTTAATATTTTTGTAATTTTATATTCAGTCTTTCAATTCAGCACATGCTGCAATAGACTGTTTTGCATGCAAGTTTTATTTAAAAAATAAATATACACAAAATAATAAATATCAATTCTTTTTTCATAAATTTTAGGTAAATCTGTAATATATTACAATTTTTCCGTTAGTGATTATATTGTATTTATTTTCATTTTTTATGATTTACTTTGTTTGCAGTGTTGAAAGCGAGTATGAAGACCCCCTATGGTAAGTTTACGTTTTATAATGCTTTTGGAAAATCATACTAGCTTGTGGCACTATACTCAGTGTCACATCGTTAATTAACCATTTATTTTGTAATTTTCTTTGTAGGCCTGAGGATGACATTGAAAAGCGATTGAGCGCATGGAGAAGCGTTAACCTTGTGAGGGCGCTTCTGTCAATGTTTGGGTGGTTATTGCTTGCATTAGCTCCAACGACTGATTTTACAACAGGTAACACTAATTGACCATCATTTTCCCTTTATGATGTTGTTCTCCAGTTCAATTCCATCACTGCTTTCCTTGTGTGTCAGCTGGCAGACAAAACATTTTAAGCTTAAATAATGCTCCATTCTTCAGAAAAGACGTTTAATTGGCTGTGTGCATGTTAAAGAATGTACAGTAGTACACTCTTTAGAAAAGAGCAGGGGATTGTTTCTTGGTGTACTATCTGATTTAACTAAAGCCCCTCTCCCACTAGGGGTTTTTTTCAGCATACGAGTTACAAGAGAATGCCGAGTTGCTAACTCGGCAAAAACTAGTGGGACAATTCGGAAAGCTTGGAGAGGACTCTTACCTACTCGTAGCAGCTCTGAACCCATGGCGCTAATTTTGAACATGTTCAAAATTATCTCCACGAGTAGATAACTTGTAGTAAACTCGAAGAACTCGTAGGTATCTCGTAGAGTACTCAGGGTACTCCTACCTAGCTCATACATTACTCTGGATACTCGTCGGCGGTTTTGTCATCTACGAGTTTGATGCGAGCACCCAAAAACGAGTATGAGTAAGTACGAGCGCACTGAGTTTGCTCGTACCTAACTCATATCTAATTCGGTACAAACTTGTTACGCTCTTAATCTCGTAGTTAACTCTGGCCTCTGCTCGGCATAATTCGTACATAACTCGTAACCAACTCCATAAAGTCGTAGCTAACGCGTAATAAGCTCATATAGGTCCTTTCAAAAGATCACGAGTTTTAACTCGTAGAAATCGTACGGCTCTTAGGTGAAATAAACCTAGGTGGGAGAGGGGCTTAAGGTACCCAAATCAACTTCGAACAAGGCACAAATTGAAACTACTCAGCTTTCTGTGATTTTGCAAACATTTTACTTTGAAAATTCTGTTAATTGATTACAACCATTGTAAGGCTGTTTGTAAAATATAAGAATGGTATTTTTATGCTCTTACCTGTTAATTTTTGAGAATTTATACAAATGTTAATAACTTACCCAAATATAGATTAAAAGATTCAAATATTGAGTTTTATTCAGTGTTTATTTTATTATTATTAATTTCCAGATTTTAAATTTCACAAACAGTAGGCTATCTTCAATTAGAAAATATTATTATCATTATTATTGGAAATGGTATCATTTGTTCAATCAACTAATGAAGCCATTGCTTTAAATGTTTATAGTTTTGCAAATAGAAAAAAAAAACTGTCATCAATCTCATTTTTATTGGTAAAAGTATAATTTGTTATACAATATGTTATAATGTAGTAAAACCATTGCCTCAAATATTTACAGTACAGTACTACAGAAAAGCGAGTGTAAATCCATTTCTAGATCTCAACTGACATGCAGGAAACAAAATGACATATAGTTGAAATTGTGTTTACAGTGACAAATTACATTTGACGTGAATGATTTATTGAACCTATTTGTCTTTTCAATAATTAGATTAAATGCCTTCTCTTGCGTGACTAGTACATTCATAAATGGGAGGCAGTCTGTATTGTTAAATTGTTATAAACAATTATTATTTAAGCATTAATCCCATCTCTTTTCTCAGTTGATTGATTGGTTTCTTTTTCATTAAAAGTAATAGTAATAGTGGATGACTTAATTACAATTTTTTTAATGATATATTTTTAATTCCAGCATCGTTTTTGATTAGCTGACATAGACAATCATTTATTCCTTCTATGCTTGCTTGAAATGAACTGCCTCAACAATAAATAGTAGAACTCAGGAAATTATAATGCTCTCGACAGTTAGAATACACCATACAAAGTGATAACAAAAAACAAAAAAAAGTGGTTGAATATATTGTTTTGTTGGTTTTTAAATTGCTTCAAATAAACTTTTCACTCGGGAAAGTTTTTAATTATTTTTCACCTTTAGCTAAAAAGTATAGAAAGGCAATAAGTCCGACTGTCAGGGTTTCCTTGAAAAGGAATCCTACCTCGAAAAGTACTACCACAAACTAGAGGGCGTTCTGCAAGAAATATCAAATATCTTATAAACACAAGATAGCATTCTCTATGATTTCCACGTGAAAATTCTGTAATAACGCAGTGCACAGCACCCTCTTGCAAAAGTGATTACTTTTGAACTTTGACCAATTTGATTATAGCGTACACCACCGCGCTACTTTACCTTTACGCGTAACAATTAGAAGCGTTGATTTACAATGCGCCCTTTCTTTATTAAGGAACAATTAACGTACTTGATAACAAAATTTGGCGTGACATGAACACCTCACCGAGTGAGCAAGAAGTAAGAAACAACTATGAATTAATGAATTAATAAAATGAGGTTTTTTGGAGGAAGATAAAAAAAAAAAGTAGTAGTTTGATTTCTGATGTGCAAATTCCGTATCAACTGTACCACCGTATTATAAACAACGGTAATAACTGCATGGACAGAGCCTTCTCAGATCCATGGCAACAACTAGGATGCCTTCTCCCAAAAGCGATTACTTTTGTGCCAAATCGACGCTTCTATTTGTTACGCGTAAATCACAGAGAATGCCATCTTGCGTTTATAAGATCTTTGATACACATAAAGTCGTTCGTATCGAACGTGTGTTGCATGTAGAGAACACTTGTACAAATTTCAAAATTCTGTTTCAATATCAGGAGAGTTGGACCTCTTACCAATCTACAGTGAACATTCCTAAATTGCAATCTCTTTACTAGATAAACATACACACATTTTTTTTAATGTATTTTCTCACACCAAATTTTCCTTTTTGAAACTGCATCAAGCCCAATAATTTCATGTACGCATGTTTGATTTATGACAATAAAGTTTATCTGATCTTATCTTATATAGACTAAATCTCATTATGAATCTTAGGAGTGGAGTGGAGTTGTTTTGGTCGTGGGAAAAAATCTTTTTACGATGACAGGATTGGGAGGCAAGGATCTTAACCACCAAGCTATTCAACTCCACTCCAAATGCTTAATATAATATTGATTATTAGGCTGTGCACTTACAGTTGTAATGTTTTTTTGTTATGTCTTCTTCTCATAGAACATTTGTACGACTCAGAAGAACCACTGTGGGAGGAACAGCAACAGACAGAACTGCACCAAGTACAATCAAATGCTTAACGTTCTTTTAAACAAATAAACTATTTAAAGATAGTCATTCCAAATGATTTTAAGCAATGTTTTCTAACTTTGCCATTTGTGATCACAAAGTTTTTTAAATGTACTGTATATGTAGCTGGAATTTTTAATCTGTACATTTTGTATATTTAATTTTTTTGTTTTGTATAATTTTGAAGTTACCACCTATTATTTGAATGTGTGTTTGTATGTGTATATAGCACTTGGTAAAGATACTCTTTACTTTATTATAACTATTTATGAGTATACCATACACAATAAAAGAAAGAATTCCACAGTGATTAGAGTTTGAACTATCATTTATACATAAAATACTTCTTCTTGGCTAAAGATACACTCTTGAGCTAATAAAGTTTAGCAGCGAATCCAATAGGGGCCAGGGGTGGTGCCAGCGTGGGCCGGGGGCAAGGCCCCCGGTCAGGGAGAGCTGGCCCCCTGTCGGGGAGAAAAAGCACAATTCGTCGGGGAGAAAAAATAATTATATGTATTTTCTACATATTATTGGACTTTAAAATCGATTAAATAAGCCTTAGAAACCTGATGCTCATATATGTGATTAAATATTTATTGCTCACAATACTACCACTCAACAACATTTAACCATTTTTTTCATCTTTTTTGTTCTGCTCTGGTAAACTAGCCTGACTATTTTTCCTGGGTATGATTCACTCGGTAAAAGCTTACTATTACGGAGCTTGACCAAGGGGAATGTCACAGGAAATTAGAACTATCATGCATTTGAAATGGCCATTTTACAGCCTTGTAATCTCATGAAGCTTTATTTTTACAGAACCAATGCATTTTAATTCAATTTAACACACACAACGTGGGCTAGGCCTTACCTAGGACTCGGGGTGGCACAGCCTTCAGAATTGTTTGAAAATAGTACCAACTTGGAGGCCTATGTTGTGTGTGTTTTCGATTCACCTTCAATACAGGCATATTGAATTTCATACCTGGGTTGGCATTCTAAAAATTTGCAGAACGCAGCTGCAATTCATATCTTCACAATGTAACATTTATATTTTATCTTGTGTGAATCAAATACAAGAGTTTCCTATATAATATAAATACACAGTAGACAAGATGAACCGTATATTGTTTATTATCCATCATTTGGATTTTTCTAGAGGGCTATTTAGTGATCAACATAGGCCTTTTAAAAAGTATTTACATGGTACTTAAACCCAAACAAGAGCAAAATTGATTTATTCACAGAAACCGTGAATGTGTTTATATCGACTTGACACATGTCTGATTTCTTGCTCTACTGGAAATCTTCTTGCATTTATTGATTGTTCGTAGATGTGTCTTCCGCCATAGCGTCCAGCACTAGACAAAGTTGCGTCTGTGCCTGAAACATCAATTTTGTATAATACTGTATTATCAATTTTCATAGATTCATAATAGATTTGCTGCAGTGTCTACCTATCTGTTTATAGTACACTTAGGTAGGTGGTAGTTTGTTACCTACCAATACACCAACAGCAATCTATTCAAATATTCACAATACTCAGTAATAGATAGCTGGTAGGTGTTTACTAGTACAACCATGGAGGAATAAGTTTATTCCCATATGGTACAACTCTTACTTGTTTTGGCTCACAAATTATGTAAATGAGGCAATTATCTATGAAGAACTACTTAAAAACACACAGAATCTACTAAAAAAACTACTAAGTGCTAAATAGAAAATAGAACCATGTTTATTAAGCTGTTTGGACTATTAAGCTAATGGATATAGCACTAAATCTGCTAATGTATATAGCACTAAATCTACAGTACTAAGGTCTTTTTTGTTATGGGAACATCTTTGAAATAATCTATTTCTGATATCCCTCACTAATAATTTTAAAATCATCAAAAGGATAATTTTAATCAAACCAATTTAGGGGTCGTTCACAATTACCAAAATTTTCACAAGTGTACAAATAGTACTCTTTTACAATATCCTACTCTCCCCTCTAAAAGTGTACATTGCAAAACCATTCTCCATTTTTTGTGAAGTCAAAGTTGTACAGTACTTGGTTGCATAACAAATTCTGATTATATTCATGGTTGCATTATAATTGGCCATCAAAATCTATTTTGTGATTTATTTTGAAACATTTTCATGCAAGTAAAGGTGTACACATTTTCTACCCCCTCCCGGCTAGCGTAGTGTTTGTACACTTATGAAAATGTTGATAATTGTGAATGACCCCTTTACGTTAAATACAAAATCCTTGATCCACATAAATATTTAAAATGTCTCACCTGAATTCATTGCAGCTGGTCTACCGGAGTAATCGGGAATATCATGCACATTTGGAATCTTGTACACCTGATGCCGAATAGTTTCTCGTGTTGTAATCGTACACTCGTTAGGAAGCGGTCGTCTGATTTCAGGATCATCTAACGGTCCTGTACCAGGTCGCCACTGTAGGGAGCTGTAAAGTGGCGCAGACAGTTGATTCACTTGCGATGTTTGTTTTAATGCTTCGTTAACATTTGGTGCAATTTCCTGCAAAAGTGATTCAAATTTATATGATGTTATTACTGTAATATATAGTTAATCTTGGGGAGCATGTGGAAATTGTCAACAACACATTTTTAGGGAAGAGATAACAATCAGCCAATACAAAGCAGCAAAAAGATGAGAATTAACCAAATAAAATAGTCTGACCTATTACAAGGCAATAAGAGCAACCTATTATAATAATGTCATATCACACGCATATATGCAATTAATTTGCATAAACTAACCTGTCTAAAGTTCCTGATCTCCTGCAGATGTTTGTCACATAGATTATCCCAGTAGGCCTGATCCAAAGCCCGAATATTCCTACTAGCATCACAGCAAGTCTGTTTATAATCCACTAGAGCATGTGCTAACTGAGACAGTTTTGTTATCAAATCTATAAAAAAACAAATTAAAATATTAATGTATAAAAATAATTACAGTGCATTAGGTATTATTACCTTCACATTCATTTATGTGTGTGAATATTGTTATGTACTGTGATGAATCAATAAAAAATGGTTATTCTTCTGACATGCTTTAGTGCATTCAGATAGCAAGAATAGAAGTTTAAGGTTAAGGTATGCCAACTCCACCAACCAGCACCTCAGATTTTAGTAAAATCATCGGAATAATTACAACCACAGCTATCAATAAATCTTTTGAATGAGGTTAATTCCTGTTTCTCATGAGATAGGATGTTACACTATGCATGGTTGAGAAACTCAGCAAGTATCTAATGCTACGTTACGTCCATGTGGATGCACATCTGTGAAATGATGTCTGTGTATATCCATTTAAGAAAAGCAAATTACAGTCTATGCATGGATCTGTGCATAACGGTAGGTTAAGCCGGACACTCACTACACCCGATGCAATTCTATGAAGAACACAACACGGTGACGCACACGCAACAGATTGCTTTTAACGACGATCCGTTCAGACTACCACCGAAAATCATCAGACCGCGTCGCATCGTCTAGCGCTCACAGCAAGCGAAGTTGGATCCTTTGAATGTCGTACGAAGCAGTGAGTGTCCGACTTGCCAGAAGTCTGTGTAACATCAGCATGCATTGTGTGTAACATATGATTTTGTCCCAAGTGTGAATCGTGTATAGTTTGCACACTTTAATACTAGTCATCAATTTTTAAAATTTACATTTGCTCTCGGATTCGAAATCAGCCTTCCAGAAGTGATGATGGTAGTTGTCTCTTGTCTCTTCGTATGATGCATCCCTGCCTAATTCTTGAAAGTCTATCTTGAGTGCCTGGAATTCAGCCTGTAGTTCTGGTGTTTTGTAGTACTGAACATCATCTAATATTGCACAAACGTTCTGTAAAACTATACGTATCACATTGTGCAACGAATCTGCAGCGGTGACATGATCTACGAGGCTGTTGCTATTGTTGCTGTGACTCACCCCAACCAGCCTCTGCGGCTTGTCCACTGGGGGCCTCACGGCTGGCACTGGTACTGTCCTTTCTGACATTGAATGTTATTTTAGGTTAAATATTACGTGTTTTCAAATAATATATGAGCTTATGCTAATTTAAAAAGATACGAGAATTTTTTGCCAAAGTCAATAGTAAACTGTACTGAAAATTAGGAAGAATATCAAATGTTACACGAGTGGCTTGTCCTTCCGTCGTCCGTCAACATGTGTATTCATAACTCTATGATGTTGCCTTAGTAAATGTAAACAGCCTCACTAATCACTATAAAAATAAAAGAAATTAAATATTTGTTAATTAAAGTTGCCTATTTCTTAAATAAAATTATTTATAATTGATTTATAATAATTTTGTATTTTTAGTTGTATTGTCACATTATAATACAAAAATAAATATATATCCTTAGAATAACTATTTGAATTAATGGGTCAGGGGTTATAAATTACCAAGCAACCGATGTAAACACAAAGACAGATGTAAACAAACATTTCGTTCGGTACCTGCGGTACAGACAGTTGCTTTATGATCGATAGATCGACTGAAAGGAGGCTTTGTGTGTGTTGCTCGACACGTTTCAATCTTCAAGTAATCTAGGCTACTTTGTAGGCCTATTTTATTTTAAAATGGCATCTGCAAACCCAGCTACCTTACAAACAAGAAATGAATTTCGCAATACGTGCACAAGTGTGCTGCAGGGACTTGATTGTCTTCATCGTCAGCGAACCGTTCTGAATGACGCGATGATCGCTGCTCTCACTGAACTTGGCAATCGTATGACCCTACTTAGGTCTGATGTAGACAATAACACAGATTATCACATTGATGGACCTCTAGTTAGATGTAAGTAGTATCGTAGTCTGTCCCCCTTTTCTGTATTTTAGTAGACCCCACTACAGCAATTTCTATCCTATGGATGACAAAAATATGAAGTCTAGCCTAGTAGTAGTAGGCTTAGCTATGAATTGATTAGTTAGGCCTTTAATAGCCTAAAGAGAAGCCTATCTCTGTATCTAATTATATTTTAATTTATTAATCCTCGTAGTTTTAACATCTGAAACTAAGAAAGCTCAAGCAATCATCCAGGAGATGAAGAGGACATGCAGTGAATCGAGCATACGAATTTGCGGAGAAAGTTATTATCAACAACACATCAATCAACACTACAGTGAAATACAGTCAGTCTTACAGGTGAGGTGATGAATTCTCGTTGTTAGCCATTCCTCATGAGTACACACTTTCACAACGTTTACCAGACTCTTTTTCATCACTTAATTCTGGCAATTTCCTCCCATTTTAAATGCATTGATGCTATTATTAGTATCTTGCAGATTAATAGGCTATGTTTATTATTATTATTAATAGGAGATTCGAAAGTTATTAAATTAACTAGTGTTTTTGTTTTTAACAGGAAATAGAAAGACATTATAATGATGCTGTTTACAGGAGGGATACAGCTGTACCTCCCCCAGTCGATGTTCAGACCCCCTGGCCACCAAAATACGTACCCCCAGAACAGGTTAATACTGTCAAAACTGAGGAAGATACATCAAAATATCCAGGAACTGCTGGCTCCCAAAGAAGTGTTCGATTTAGTCCACAAGTAGAAATGACATCATCTGTTAGTCCACAAGAAGTAATACCATCATCACAAGAAGTGATGACATCACCACAAGATGTGTTAAGATCCGATGCAATGAATCCAACCCCTTCAGCTGGGACGGGCTACAAAATGTCAACATCTTCAACTCCGGGTGTGTTTGAGCACATGCATGATATGACAAAAACACATCCAATTCACTCTGATAGCTGGCCTGAGAACACTACAACTCCAACAAGCGTTTTTGATAGGAAAAAACCACCTCTAGGTACTGTATAATATCCTACGCTATGATTTCAACCTTGTTTTATTATTCTATAATAAATTCAGGAATAATAGCTTTGGTATCAAATTTTTATTATTGTTATATTTTGTTGCTCTTAAAAAGTCTCTCAAGATGGGGAGGAAAAAAATGATTGAACCTTAACGGTAAGCCCCGCCTCTTGGACATTGTTGCTATGGTCCCACAAAACGAATGTGTAAAAATATAAGCACATAGGGCCTGTGACATCAGCACACGCACGTGCTTGTGAGACACGGGTATTCCTATCCTTGTTCTAATTGGTCAGTTGTTAAGTTTGATTGAAAGGTCGTGCATATCACATCCACTTATACCTACAGGTCACAGCATTATAAACAAAGGCTCATTAGTACAAATGTTGTACATAATACTAAGCTATGGTATATTCATTCAAAAATATTTACATAATTATTATTCTAATTATGATTACAATCGTTTTTCTTACAGTTTACCCAGGCCTACGAGATGTCCATAATTACAGGAATTTACCTCAGTTTACTGGACTCAATCTTCCTGTGCCAAATTATCCCAATGGTGAACTTGGCCTAAGAGCTCCGCATGTACAGCACTGGGACTACCACAACAATGTTCGATACTAACGATCTAGCCTACCAAGTGGCATTTCTTTCAATTGAAACTCTATTTGTATAGCAATGAATATAATTATATTGTAGTTTATTATTTTACATATATAGATGTATTATGCAAACAGAATGTTGTACATTGCTCGAAATTTGTTTTAGATGAATTATCTTTACAATAAAATTATTTTATTAAATAAATTAACAATTGAAATTTCTATTGGAAGCTATATCATTTCAGTGTATCCGTGTTACGTGTGTGGGGTGTGTTTTTGTGGGTGTATGTATATATTTTTTACAACTTTACCTTATAGCTTAGAGAATCCAGACCTGATGAGGACAGTACATTTTTTTTCTTCTAAAATATATAATTTTAATTATCGCTAGTGGAGGTATGTGATTTTACTTGAAGAAAAAAAGAAGTACATAAAGGTGTATATTCCACTTCGTAGTTCAGTAGAGCATCCGAACTGTAATCAGTAGGCCTTTGGTTCGAATCTCGATGGGAACAATACGATATTGGTATGTTCATTCCTATCAGCAGTCTAGACTAAAATATACACCAGTTTGCCGAGGAAGCGCTACTGAAAAATGGTTCTGGGCATCATCCGCCATCGCGATCATTAAACTTTTCACGTCCCCGTTAATTTGAAATTACCGTAATCTGTGGCGTCTGTTCGTAAAGCGACTTCAAATTAGAAACCATGTCCAGTTCATCCGCCCGAGAACATGTAAAATCAGCGACTCAGTGTCCTAGGTTTAAGTTTCTTCCAGTTTGGTGGGTTTGAATTTTAATTTGGGATTCAAACAATTGTTCAACATACCTCTCGAACATTAAATAAAATAATGGAATCGCCCATACACGGCCTGCCTATTTTTGGGATCCAGGGCGGAGGTATGCAGTCTATGGAGTGACTGCTTCGGTATATTTCATGCTTTTGCACTCCACATGTTTATTTTCATATTTTTATAAGTAATGTTTTATAAGCATTCATACTCGCAGATTCCTCTTCCTGAAAGTTTAAAATATGCATGTCTATTAATGCTACGATTCAGAATTGCTTTTTGTTCCTTACCATAGACAAACCAAAATGCCACTTTTCAAGCTTTAGTTATTGAATTTGATACTTCATACCCGAATCGACAAAAATGCATGAGGTTAATGGTAGTGGTTGGCCATCAACCTTAGCATAGCTTAATCCTTTTTTCTTTCTTTTTTTTTTTAAATCCTGACCGCACAACGAATTATTTTTTGTTGTAGCCCTAACAATTTACAGTTTCCAGTACTGTATATGTATTCAGGAGGATTGTCAGTCTACTATTGCACGTTCATGGACTAATTCTTTTTAACAATAAGAGATTTACTTAAAGAGATTATAGCTTTGTGTCTTAGGCCAGAACTGTAAAGGTCAATGAACATAAATAATTATATAGCACGATGTGTCCAATATGTAACCAGCTGTAACCACCACTATGTTGCGTCTATATTCGTTGATTTTATTTCTGACAATGTCATTTTTATCAGGTAACTAATATTATTCTTGATTTCTGGATTGGGAGTGGTATGTTTGATATTTTTAGTGGTACAGTTGTGCAGTTGTTTTTGTGTTCTGAAAGTAAGAAATATAAAAGATCTATCTGCTATGTGTTAGACGTTGTTTGTCCTGTCAAGTGCCAGCCATAACGCTTGATAAGAGCTACCACAAATATTATTTCAGTTTTTAAATAATACTGTATTACTATTATAGCATTACTTACGTGTTAATCTATGTGATTCAGCCATACCCATGTTTATAATTTTACGATTAATAAAAATAAATAAATATTTATAAAGTAGCGTAAGATCAAATGACTACGGTACCGGTATGTCTAGACAAATAAAATCTAAACTCAGAATACTTAAGTATGGTTGGTGAAATAACTAAAGAATTGTTAAAGTTCGTAAGGTTCACACCAAACTTTGTCCTTTATTTGTTTAATACAACACATCTAGATGTGTATAAGAGACAGATCCAGACCTGATGAGGACAGTACATTTTATTTTTCTAAAATATATAATTTTAATTATCGCTAGTGGAGGTATGTGATTTTACTTGAAGAAAAAAAAAAGTACATAAAGGTGTAACTTATAGTGAACAGTGTTACCGTTAGCAAAACCAACGAAACACTCATAACTGAAACGCTTCTGAACAGCCTTGGACCGCCGACAAGTCGTCCTGTACTCGACCAGAGTACGGTACTCAACGTATCGATGTCTTATGTATTAACTCAAATTATTGAGCTGGTAAGTAATATAATGATAATAATACTTTATTTGTCCTCGTTCGATATTCAATTGGAAATTGGGGCTGGCGCACTGGAGACCCTCGGCAGCCGCAGTGCAGCGCCACCAGACTTAACTACAACATGTAGCGGATATACAATTAGGCCTACATTATTTGAATGTAGCGGATACATACAGATAAAAACATGGTCTTTATCTCGCCTAAAATCTCAATATCCACTAGCATTTCTTTCCTATCATACTTATCTGCATAGACATTAAGCCTATATATTTTCTGCCAAAAAGTGGGCCCGGTACCGCGGCCAACTGCTCATGAAGTCAAGATAATACTTTCAATGTCTAAAGCGTTTTAAATGGCAGGTTCGATTATTTTGTTAGAAAGTTCGATTTAAAAGGTAGAAAATTATATATAAAAGATATATTCACGGCATTTAAAATATTTATTTACTTTCTATGTAGGGCCTATAGAGTCCTATGTAAACTTTACTTAGCCCTATTATTATTCAGTATTATCGTGCAAGCTTAAACGATTTTATTGTTAAAAATAAAATGTATGTATTGGCCTTCTTTTACAATCCTAAATATATATACAATGATGTGTCTAGGCCTACATACCTTGATTTTGTAGCGAGTAGGAGTAGCGAGCAGAAATAGTGTAACTGATCATATTGACTATGAACTAATGTTACTCTTCAGACGTGTGTTTTGGCAAATGCATAAAATCTAATTATTATTTTTATTCATTTTAGAATGATATGCTTCAGGAACTGAAAGTCGCTGGCTGGTTTAGTTTGGTGAGATATATTATCATATTTCACTTATTTACTTTTTAAATCGGTTACGTAGGCTATATTGCTTGCTTATTTGTTTATACCAACAAAACAATAGATACGATGGCGACAAATACAGGTGCTGATGAAGAGAGGAAGAGAGAGAGAGAAAACCACAAAAAAAAAGCCCATTAAAAAATTTGTTGTCTAAATGCTGCGTAACAGTAAGAAGCTTTCGATTGCACGACGGACGGTGGGCGTACAACGTAATGACGTCACTAAAAGTCATCTTCGTTGTGCCACTGTTCTTATAATTTTGTTTAATTGTTTAATAGGTGACAAAGAAAGGCAAACCAATTATAAAATGGAGGAAATTAGTTTAATACTTCTAAATCATGATTTAACTTAAGGCGCCAATAAGCAATTAATTGCACATTTCATATTTAATTACCATATGCATTTATAAATATTTGTTTGAATTTTCCTAGAACTGGCGGGACGAAAATATTAACTGGAATGCGTCTGTATATGGCGTCAATTGTGTTGGTATTCCCGGAGACAGTATATGGAAACCAGATTTAACTTTAGACAATAAGTAAGTATTGGTGAGCATGTGCTGTGTACTGTGAATAGGGCCTATTATTATTTTATATAAGTCAGGGCCATTCTAAGCGGGTTAGGGTAGGCAAAATACAATTTAAAAAAATTAATGTCTTCAATGTAGTTATCCTTGTAAAGAAACATTAATTTAATGTATAAAATTCGATTGCATCCTTTAGATTTATTTATTATGGTTTCCAACTCTATTTTACCAGTGTTGACGAGAAATACAACCAATTTCCACCGAATTCAATGGTACAAATTTGTTCAAACGGAAGTGCGACTTTCTCGGCGTATTCTATTTTTCGAAGTTCGTGCCATATAAGCATTAGGTCTTTCCCATACGACGAACAACTCTGCAGCCTACGATTTTCTTCTTGGATTCACGATTTGGGCGAACTAGACATTCATCCGCAGCAACACTCTCTTGACCAAGAAGACCAGTTTGACGACAATGGAATCTGGAGGCTTATTCATGTACAGGGAACACGCGAAGTGGAAGAGTACAAGTCTGGCATTAACCCGTATGTGTACGCTGTCATCTCCATTCAACTCATGCGACGTCACCATTTTCAGTTACTATTTATTTTGATTCCTTACTGTTTCTGCTCTTTCCTTATCTGTTTGATGTTCTTCGTCCCTACTCAGAGTGGAGAGAAACTATCATACGGAATGACAGCTGTACTGGGAATGATCGTCTTTCAAGATTTTGTAACGTTTTCGCTGCCACCTATTGGAAACGAATCTACGATTATTGGTAAGTGTAGGCCTAGTACACGTCATCATTTCGTCATGTTCAGCCGGGCGCACACATTTTATGCATTTTTTTAAATTTGTGCAATTCTGGAAGACTTCTTCATCAATAAGTTAATCAATAAATTGAGAATAGGCCTATTTATATTTATATTTTTATTTTATTTTCAATCTTTCGACAAAAACAGAAAAAGTTGAACAGGGATGCCGAGGAAAAGCAAAAGTTAGAAAACTGTCATCGAAATCCAACATTTTAATCAAATTTTTGCTGGTAATTCAATTTGGCCCGTGTACTTTTTACATTTAAATGTGCAATAACTTGCATTGCCTTCTTGATCCTCGTTTATCCCGTCTACGTATTTTATATACGGTAATGTTTAATGAATTGTTATTGATTTAATTCATTTTCAAATTTCTTAATTCGACGTTTTGTATTTTTTTATCCTCATGATTATAGATTATATTTTCATATTGTCTGTTGCAATTGAGTTGATTTTGTTATTGTTATATTGGTTACTCGCCTCAATGAAGACTAAAACAGCTTTTTAATAAAATATTTGTATTATCCAGTTACATCGATCCTTTGTTATGTTGTTATTGTTTTATTTTTATGTTGTTAGTTTGTCCACATTAAACAAAGAATTATTGAAAGCTTGTGCAATCATTTTTACTTTGTTTATATTTTAAGGTCGATCTTCATATAGGCCTATTGTTCATTTTATTTATTATTAATATACCACTTTACTTTCCAGGGAAGTACATCGTCTCAGTGATTGGTCTTGGGTACGTATCGTTGCTTGTGGAAATCATGGTTACTAACATACATATGCAAGGCAATGTGTACAAAACAGGCGTGTATTTACAAACCTGGTATCGAATTAAAATGGCCGAATTCTCACCGAAACAACCAAGCAGCGGCAATCAGACGGAGGAACCACAACCAACGCAAGACGGCACAGCAACAGCGCAAACAGAGACCGAATATGTCATTCAATTACAACATAATTGTGCTGTTTTTGATTTCTACTTTGGAATTTTGTGTGTTGCCTTGTTATTCATGCTCCTGATCTGGTTTTATACTGTAATCTGAAATCGATAGTACTCTTTATTTTGTTAATATATCACTAATTGCATGTCAAATAATAAATAGTTTTTGATAAACCTGTTACTTATTCGTGCTATTCATATGTCCAGGCACATGTCCTTATCTCTCAATTCCTGTCCAGACTATCAAATTTGACAAAAAACATGTGACATAGTTACTTGGATGGATGGATGGATTATTCGGTGTAAACACCAAGGATAACCCACAAAAGTCTGAAGAAGACTTATTTCCAGTGGGGTACTTCTGGTGGTGATTGGGCAGTACACCGAGAGACAATCCCCTATTCTTTTCCTAACAGTACTGTGCGTTCTTTAACGTGCACAGGTAGGCCTATTTAGTTATCGTCTTGTCTGTTCTTATCCCAGAAGTTTTCCTCTTCCAATCATTATCTTCCTTTAAACAGCATACAAAATTACCATGTATAAATTAGGAAGACATCCATACATACGGTAATTATACCGCGTAAATGTAAAGTAACGTACGGTAATCATGATTTTTATAGACCTATAGTGGTAATCATTTTAATATTTTCTGTTGATTGTATTTAATTTTAACTGAAAATTGTTTAGCTTTAGTTCTCCTTTGGGAGAATTTTTGTAAAAAATAAATGAAATAATATGTAAAAAATTGCAAACAGTAACACTGACATGAGGCTGGTTTTCAATATTGTAAGCAATTAAAAGGACACGCTTTAGTAATATAGTAAATAATTATCAACAAAATTTTAAATAATGGATAATGATATAAAGGAGCAGAAAGTTGTGAATGAAATAGGAGGAGACAACGAGTTTTTAGAGTGAGACCAATCATGAATACCTTTCAATTTTGTTTAAAATACAAAAATCAATACCGTAATAATAATAATTATCATCTTTATTATTATTGATGGAAAATGCCCCGCTCGATGCGCGTCCTGTTGTTATAATGCACCAAGAAGCTAAACACATTGCACGCATTAAAACTTTTTACAGATTTATATTAGGTTGATACCCTTGTTATCTATTACATTCTTGTAATAGATAACATACAAAAAACAGCTCTCTATGCATGGAGGTATAAAATAGAATTCCTTCTATCTAATGAAAAAGACGTTTTGTTTTTTTCTCTTTCGTGTGGTGCACAACCACTTTTATTCAAAATTTTCTTTTCTCATAGTATTTTCGTATTTTTGTTTTTGTTTTTTGTTTTTTGTTTTTGTACTCAGTTTTGTGTTTGTTATAAGTGGATTGATGGAATAAAAATGTTTCCCGGTTTTCCATATTCATATGTGAAAAAAATGGGAGCCTGATCAGTAGACGTAATGGCGAAGAAAGTAAAAAGGTGTTCTGCAGATATGTGGTGTGAAAAAAATATGACGCTCGATTCTTTTATAATTATAGTAATGTAATATAAATAGTTAACTAATGGATGTACAAATAATATTTTAGATTATAATTACTATCTAAAATGATATTATGAGATATTTTAGCAAGAAGTAAGATGAATATCATTAATTTTATCATTGGTTTTGACATACTAAGTATATTATAATAAATGTTCTTGTATCTTGTATATCGTCATTTGTGCTTTGATTCGATTAAGACAAGAAATATATTTAGGACTATCCAATCGAGTTGGGCTTTGATGAAAAGCAAATGATTCATAAATGCATGATTTCTCAGGTCTAATTTGCTTTTAATGTATAAGTTGGTGTGTTAGAAACTTTGTTTACAAAGTAACGAATATGTAGCAAATACTTTACTAATACTCGAAAAAAAAAAACCCTGATTAATAAGCACGTGGCTTTTATATTCAACGAGAACGTTTTCAATAGGAACATGATAGATTGCATTGCATTGTCCAATTGTACATTACCGATTGTCCTAACAAGATAATATAGGATGTCTAATGATTTTCTATAAGATAAGTTGCAATGAATTACCATAAGAAAAGAAAGCATCGATACAAAATGTGGGGTTGGGATGGAGTACAAAGTTTAGTTCTAAATATTTTATTCTTTAAAGTACCATAATCAGAAAAAAAAAGTTCCCCTTTTAAAAACACACAGGTAAGAATCACACTAAAAACAAGGTTCGTTACAATGCATTTATGTATTAATATCAACAAAATCACATCAGAATTAAAACATTGGGCTTCATGCAATTTATTAATTTTGCAAACCACTCATTCATTGTTCGAGCATTTTATATTCAAGAGGGCGGTATAGCAGATGACGAGATGATACTCTTTGTTTTTACATACAGTATTATAAAGGCAAATCAATGTACATCGCAACTGAAATCTTACTTGAGTCTCAAAAAAAAAAAAAAAAAAAATACCATAGGCATGAGCAATAATAACCACAAGGCGCATTAATATAAATAACATATCTGGTGTTTTTATAAATCAGTCGCAGTGTAATGTCAATATTGTATTGAAGACTTAAAACTAAATTGAGATAATAGTCCTAGGACTAATTTTAATTGGAATTTTAAAATACAACATTTACTGAGTCAGTTAGGCCCTTTGCAGAGGATTACTATCAATGCCATAGCCAACTATTGGGACAGTTGGGACAGTCCCACACAATTTTTCTAATGGGTCCACAAAGAATGGGTCCACATTTTAGAAATGGGTCCAAATTATGTTGTTCTCCTTTTATCTTTATTACACTATCCGCTTTAATTTTTACTTCTATGATGTACTATAACAGACCTTTTTTAACAATGTATATAAATCTGTGATTCTTGATTTTCATTTAATTTCCGTTTATTTTCTCTTTTTCTGTATCGTTTTTGAGTTTTCAAAGTGGGCCCCTTCGTATCACCTATGCTCGAAACAGTCACCAACTTTAAATATTGTTGAAATAAAAAATAAATAAAAATGTAATTTTATGCATAAAATGGGTCCACTTTTTGAAAAAATTGGTCCACATTTCTCGTATTTACCTTAAAATGGGTAAAATTTAAGAAAATTGATCCAGATTTTTCATATTTTTGCGTAAAATGGGTCCACATTGTTTGAATTCAAACACGTAAAAGTGGGTCCACCCTGATATTTTTTTTTTAAATCCTGGCTATGGCATTGATTACTATTGATTGGCGTATCTAGGAGTACGCACGCCCCTCCCCCACCTTCAATGCTTGATGCAACGTCACGTTTATTTTGCTAGTGCCTCCTCACGTAATCATAGTGCGCCCCCTCCCCATTACCCCCTCCACACCAGCTCATTATTTCAAGACTCTATACGCCTCTGTTAGCCTACTATCATTTAGTATTTTACTAGTGATGGGAAACCGTTTGCAAGACCTGTGTTACAAACGTCTATAAAAAAAAAAAATTATAGAGAAAAAATATATTCCTCACTAATTAGCAGGCGCATAAATTATAACTATTTGTATATGAATTTAACATACTGTAGGGGACCTAGAAAATTTTTTTTAAAATATCTGTAAATTGGTGTGAAAACTGAGCATTTATTTTAGTTAAAATTACATTTTCAATTGATACATACATTCAATACATTTCACAACCCATGGTATATATGTATTTAAATAAGCAATTAAATGTTTCGATCATTTAAAAAAAATATTTTATGAGGGTTTTAAGATTTTACCAGACAGTACAGTACATACTGCCAGGTAAAAACCTTTTGGTAATGTTTTAACCACGAGAGGGCAGGCTGCGCTTTTTTTTTTTGCATCTGGCAGCTAAGTACGAGAGAAAAGAAACTTCCCACACTGAGCAGCACCCATCGACAACAACAACACGGTGTTTGTGTGAACTCCCAGCTCTTCTTCGGCAAACGGTAAGTGATTTTGTTGTTAATTAAATAATGTTGTAGCAGTCTCTTAGTGAATTGTGAACTTGGATAAATGCAGTTTTTAAGGTAGGCGTTTACTAACCTAATTATCTAAAGTTTGTACGTAAACACATTCTGTGGGTATGGTCAGCTTGAGGTGTAGGCAGCCCTGACACTGACTTGTGTGAACTGTCTGTCATTATGAAAGGGGCTGTCCCCGTTTCCACTGAATGCAGTACAGTACTAGAATTCACAAGCCTTGGCCTATCGTTGCTCACGGCCTAGCTAAGCCAACTGTTTGACATAATACTACAAGACGCGGACCAAGTGCAATTCATTTAGCAAATGGGAATGTTAGAACATAAGTTAAATTCGGCCTTAGTTGCATACCCGCCTGTGTGATCCATGGATGGATCACACTTGATCCCCTTTACTTGTAATTAAAAGTGTCTTGTGGTTAAATTAAATCCCTAAAATATAGTCTAGATGCAAGTCTCATCCCACAGTGAGTTCCTAACCAACTTTACTTTTACTATAAATCTGTCCATACTAAACACCACCAAACAGATGCAAAAATGATTAAAGTATTACCACACGAGAGTAGAAAACATTTTAACAATCAATAAAGACAAGCTTTTATACGGCGATAGTTGTCCGGGTAGCAGGTCAAAATGGCAATAAACCAAAACGGTTTTGGTTTATTGCCGTTTTGACTAGAAAGCATTGTCCGCATTATGGTTAAAATCAATGAATTTTGTTACAGATTTCCCCGTTGTGACATTGAGGATCTCTAACAACATGACATCTGCAGAAACGCATTCAACCATGACCTTTATAAGACTTATTCTAAAATACTGAAGATAATAACACACTTAACAAATTGTAAATAATAAAAAGGTAAAAATAGCAATTGTTCTATTGGTAACCCAATGGAAACTAATTATTTACTTAAATAAATTGGGTCTTTCTGAATCAATTCAATTTCAGTATTAATGCATTCTTTTTATTCCATTGCTGTACACTGCAATAACAAATGTACAAGCAATAAATTAATTCTGAATTTTCTTAACATCATTTTATTTGAAAATTGACAGATAACCTGTCTATCTAATTAATATATAATTAAGTATACTACAATCAAAGTACTCGCAGTTTATTTGTTTCTTTTTTATATATAATTCTTACATAAAATCAGGTATATTTATTGCATAAGAGACATAAAAATACGAAAACTGTCCATTGAGGCATATGCTGAAATTGTGTTACTAGAAAACATGACAAAAGCATAAAACTGACAATTATAAATTTACAAATCATTATCAAAAATATATTGCAATATCAAATATTCTCTGACCGCCAGGGGTTTGAAAAAATAGTATCAGCCACCACCAGACTTTTTAGCAAATTTCAACATTTTTGCGAAACTTGTTGAGAGTGCGTATGTGATCAGATTGACATGAAATGAATACTACAGAACTACAAATATTTTAGCCTTACAATGGTACCAAACACTTCATTCTATATCATAATCTGTGACCCATAACAGTAAAATCAAAATGACTAACTTTAGGAGGTTTACGCAATTTCGCACAACGAAGCTGAGATAGTCCCGATTTTGTGAAAGTAATGCATGAGGGAGATATACACAATGCCAACGCATATACTTTCTGAAACACGGTGGGCTAAACAATTACAGTACATCGATTTTAACCGAATTTAGACAATTAGTATAAAAGTTGGTTTTATTGATTATTAAGCAGTTTTTACTCTTGTGTGGTAATATTTTAAATTTTTTTTGCATCCGTGTGGTGTTTAGTAGGACACTAATAATCAGATACAACATGGTTATACAATACACATTAAAAAGAATTCTGAAATCGATGATGGTAATATTTTTGTAACTAAGAATACACAAACTTATTAGACAATGCAAACACCAGCTATTGTTTTGTCCACTTAGAACCAACCCCTCCCAAACTTAAGATGGTGAGGATGCCTATTGTTTAGCCACTTAACATTCCATTGCTGTATTGGGAGTTATCAAGAGAGTGATGTAGTTATTGTGGGCAGAGGTGGGCGGGCCAGACAGTCTTGAAGTTTTTTTCACCCGTCTTAAGCTAATTTTAAATATTGTCAAATTTTTTGCCAGAACTTAGTGACATATTATTAAGCCTGAATTACAGTAGCATTTTTTTTGTATTTATATTCTACTAATGTACAGTTTAATTTGACATTTGAAATAAAGATTCCTTATTAATCTCCATGTAAAGCTGGCTAATAAATCATGATAATAATATTCAGATCAGATTATCATCAGGAATAAAACCTTTTTGAAGAACAAATTATTCATGTCAGTTGTCAACATCAAGTTTGATAATTTAAGTACCTTTAAAACTTTATAGCTTAGCCTAGCAGTCTACAATTAACTTTTCATATGTCTGCCAGAAATAATTCAGCAGTAACACTATATAGTGGATTTAATTCCAAAAAATAAACTTGCTGTACTTGAGTACCTTGATGTAATGAAATTTTTTGTAAATAAATAATTTTATAATAAGGGGTGAGAAATAGGTATTAAGTTCAAATATGAAGATTTCAATTTACAGTTCAATTTGCAACTATATTAAAATATCAATTAAAATTTGTAAAAGCATTAATGGCGATCATAGTAAAATATCACACTGTTACATGACAATCATTTCATTTTAATTCATTTTGAATTGACAATACTGTAGTACTTCTTATTAAAATTTATGAAGAAAAATCATTATATATTAGGCCAAATAAAATTAATTGCTATTTTCACGTCCCTGCCCTCATCAAATTTTGGAACCTCATGAAAAAATTGCTATTTTTCAAAAACAACATTCATTTTTCTGTGGAAAATAAAAACAATGACTATCTGAAAAAAAATGTCAAGCCTAAGAAAAGGTAGAAACATAAATGGCAGAAATACATTACAAAGATTTTAATTTACTTGTTTTATAAAAAAAAAACCTATTTTTACTATTTACCCGCCTAAAGGTCTATACTCTCACAAAAATAAAATAATTTCAAATCCCGAACGTGAAGCTATCAATTCATTTTATTTGGCCTAATATAGTACTGTAACATGTCAACATCATTTTACACAATCAATTAATGATCCAATCACTCAATCAAGCAACATTTTAGGCTTACTTCTAGGGAGTCATCCTCCTCTTGGTTTGGCAGGCCAGTTCTCCTTAACACTGCTCTCCACTCTGCTCTGTGCAAGTCGATATGAATATCACACATGGGCTGAGGCTAGATTTGATCTGGAGGGATGCAAAACAGCAAGGGGTGCGAAAATTGAGAATGCAGAATGCCTATTCCAATGAAAATTGTCATTTTAGTATTTTAACTCCTAATTTGCTGTCATGTACGCCCCTTTGCTAGGCCTGCTGTATCATCAATAGGTCGTTGTAAACATACTGTAATATCTTCACTTGCATCATAATAGATACCTGTAGCTTCTATCTCCTGTTGCTTTACAATGCTGATTCCATTTCTTGTTCAATAGGCCATGTATTTTCAACTATTGTAATCCCTGCAAAAGAAAAGGATTTCCTGCTGGTGAACTTAAAAGTCTTGTAAACAATCATATTACTCCAACAGCTGCCCCAGGAAATACCTCCATTAGTTAATAATCTACCATCAGTTGAAGCGTCGTGATTTTTACTGTAGTTCCTCTCTCAATGCCTTTCACAACATTTAGATAAAGAGAGAAATAATAATTATGTCATTGGTTTTTATTTTCTTGGCTTGACATGGATGAAATTCGATATTGTATGTCATTACTGTTTTATTTTTTTCACTTTTTTTTTTTCATTCCGTGCCCTAAATGTTATTTAGGGCACTGATTTTAATATTTGGACATTTTCGGACATTAATGAAACAAACTTTTTAATGGACCATGGTATCTCTCCCTATCAGCTTGTGTACCCTCATTTTAATTTTTTGACTCTGCAAGAAGTTTTATTAAAATATTAGACCGTTCAGGATACAGAATAGAATTTTCAGGCATCCAGAACAACATGTTAGAGCCATCCACATTTTTGACTTTGCACTAATCTGAGAAATAGTTTCCCTTTCTTTAAAAAATTCTGCATCTGTCTATGGCCTGAACAAATCACTTAGTTGATTAATAACATACATCAGATGATAATTAGCAGGTGTATGTCGTTTAGATACATCAGCAGACTTGTACACAGGTACTTGTTCAGGTATAAGTTGCAGATTATGTGTTTTTAATACTACTACAGTAGTAGTGCCTGATAATATTCTTTTGCCAGTTACAAATATGTCAAGTAACAGGAATATTTTTGAATAATGTAGTGCTGTTTCACCAGGCAAAATAATGCATTTTGGATATGATGATTTTCACATAACCGTATCTGAATCAGCCAGTGGGGATCTGGAACTACAGTGCAGTTATGTTGATGTTATGTACAGTAGTAGCACATTTGCCATATTTTCGGGAACCGTTTAAATCCATATGGTAGTTTGATTTAACTTCATTGCTTTGAATTAGCTCTAATATTTTGCCTTCTGTATGAACTTCAGTGTAAGCAAAGAGAAATGTTTACTACCAGAATGGCCAGGCACTCCAATCATAGTATTTTGTCCCTTGAATAATTTCTAATGTGTAATCTCAATTTGAAAACTTTACTTTTTCCGACATTGTATCAAAAAATGCTGTAATAAAAGTTTTTTGCTTCCAAAAATATTAGGTTTACTTGATTGTCAAAGACCCAGAAAGCAAAATTGCAACACATTTAAAAATTTTACTATAATAGTAATGCATTAATACTACAAATAACAGACTCATCCGCACCCTTTAACTCCCACGTTCATGTATATAGCCTCGTCATAATGTCATAAATGACACAGTTTTAATACCAGCATTCTACTGTGATAAATTTAGAGCTGTGGCATACAGTAATTGAGGTGTAATTACTGATTGTGAAGTACAATGAGCTGTTTAAAGTTGAAGTGTTCCTCAGGGAAGTCTTTCATTTTAATTCCATAAATAGATTCATCTTCATCTGAATTATAGATTGAATCACTGTCATTTTCGGTAAAAGAGTCCTCTTTATTTATTTTTTTTGTATCAAGATATGTTAAGCAATTAAGTATTGGAGATATCTATTTATTTATTTGTTGCTTTATTATAAATATTCAACACATAAAATACAGTAACCCATGTTAAGAGGGAACCAATGGCATCACACAAAATTAAGAACCTCTTAATAAATACTAATTAAATAATTTATGACGAGCAAAAAGAAGAGACTATGTACGAAGTTGCATCATATTGTACACATCATAAAAATAAGCTAAAATTAATTAAAAAAGAAATATATTATTACTAAACATCCAATATGTGTTTGTGTAGTTTTGTGCTTTGTAAGTACACAGGGTGAAAACGTCCTATTAATTAAATAAGTTTTTTTTATATGGGAGTATAATTTAAGCTGAGAGAAAAATCCTTGTGGTTTTATTGACAAAAATATTTCATTAATTTTTTTCAACAGGTAGATAAACATCTTCACCTGGGATTATATTGTTACTGTACTTAGCACTCAGACATTTTGATCATAATGTCTGCAGAAAATCAAAAATCTTCAGGTAAGTTTATAAAGAGCTGTGATAATTATTGTAATGATGTAATGTGATATTCATACTAATCCTATACTAACATTACGATAATGACAATAAAAATATTTTAAAATTTTGTATGGTTTTTTTCAACCTTCTATATTGGAACTCAAATGGTAATTATGTTAAAACTGAAACCTATATTTTACTGATATGACAACATCATAATTACATACATATGAGAAAATGGTGACAAAAAAAAAGAGACAAAGATACTAATATAGATTTCACGTAGCATAACCTGTGTCTGACTATATGCAATGAGTAATCTTAGAATGAAAATTATCCACAGACAATAATGAATAATAAAATAATAGTAGGCCAAGTATACAACATTTTGTAGTTATGATAATAATTTAATAATGAATGCGCATTGTAAGTTAATAAAAAGCCATTAAAATAGTTGCATATCATACACTATGTGGAAACTATATGATATTTTTGCGTAGCCTAGAATTCATTGTGGTGCACGGTATGGTGATTGAATTAGCCTTTTGCTCATGAACCTAAAAAAGAACAAGCAACCTATGCACTAGGAAAAATTAGGGATAGGATAATAAATTGGGAATTGCATTGATGATGTCATGGTTGACTTATAATAATGATTATCTAATAAGCAAACGCAATTTGATAATGCTTCTAGTAGACCTGAAGACATTATACAGTAGAACTTCTACTGTATAATGTCTTCAGGTTATCTCCACCTATTATTTTAATTCTTGGGAACATCCCTGTCATTAAGGTTATTTATTTGATTGTGATATTTTTGTAGTATTTGTGTGGCTAGCCCATTTTCATTCATTCATGATCCATTAATTGGTGACAGGTTCTCATCAATATATTGATTAGATTTAATTGAATTGGAAGAATAGGAAATAAATATAGTTAGCATGATCTTGACAAACTGTCTTGGCATATTCCAGTACTGTTTAGATAAAAATTTCCATGGTTCAGCATCAACTTAAGGTGCAGTCCTGTTATGTTGAAAGTTTACTTACATTCAGCTAGTCCTATCTAATGCACATTATGTTAACCTGTTTTTCTAAGTATTTGTCCCAAAGCAAGTAATCAATACAATGAAAAATAGAGCATACAATAGACATGCTAGTAACCTTTGATTGAGTGTCAAACTATAGTAATAATTGTTTTCTTTTAGGGAGCTATGCACTCATATTTTTGTGTTTACTGTACCATGCAGTATCTAGTACACTTACTTAAAAAGCCGCTTTTATTAATAGTGTGCATCACTTTCAGAATTTAAATTAAATGAATTATTTTTTGTCATATTAAATATAGGTATTGATGATATGAACAAATAAGTTAAACAAGTCTCAATATCATGATAATGTCAAAGGATCCTATATTCCTTAGACAATGAAGTATTATACTTCAAGGAACTGATAAGGAAATGTTGTGCACTATTAACATCAATTTTAAATGTATGCCATCGTTTTTAATAATAGGGGTTGTGAAGATTTAGTCAGATATCAAGATTCAGATTTTGAATTAAAAAATCCATTAGTAGGATGTACAATTCAAAGAATTTAATGCAAGGTACTGTAGCTTACCATTTGCTATGATAAGCACTGGCTATTCTACAGTACATTTATTGCCTACTTTCTACGTACTTTACACATCTACAGTAATATCCACCTTTAATAGTACCAGGGAGTTGTTATAGTGACTGGAGATCCAACGAAGTCAGGCTCCTTTGTACCATGTTACAGACCGGCCCCTATTGCGATCGTTAAGCTAATTGATTCGCACATTAAATTCTCAACTTAAATATAATTACTTCAAGTTGTACCGCTACCAATAAAATGACGCAATCCTGCCATAGATCGTCACACAGTAGACCGCTCATTGAAGGTCATCCGAGTTTGCTTAGAATTTACAGAAAAGGAATGAAGCAAAGAAGCTCATTTTTCTATTAAAAGTTAACGGAAATAATGCTAACATTAGTGTGTTTTTTTCTTTAAGTGTCGATGTAAAGTAGTTATCTAGGAATACTGGCCTAGGCTAGGCCCTAGTCCTAAAATATTATGGAGACGAGATGCAGCCAAACGTCTGGCGACAGTGCAACAAATGTTCACAATTTCAAAGAAGCAGTCTTAAGCAAGCAGTCTTGTCATCTCTCTCACCTTACCAGGAAGCTTTCATGTTTTACCCATTCTGAAATCTGTATTTTTTTAACTTTAAAGAGTTGACTAGTTCTATTCTACAAATTCATAAACTTCTTAACGAAAAATGGCTGCCTTTCAGTTATGCTGCCGTCGGGTCGCGTGTATGCTGTTAGTTTGTTTGTCATTATTGTACTCGTCTTACAAGAACTTTACGGTACTCGTTGCGGCACGACGAACACTAAAAAGAAGTAGAACTGTATACGATATACAAGAATTATGACACAATTAAATTCCAATTCAGAGAATTATACCATCAATAGTGATTTATTATTTTGAATGCGCATTATCTTGTATCTTCTTCATTTTCCAAAATGTTTAGAAGTGGTTTTGACGAAAAATAATTTTACATTAAATGAAAGAATGAAACACCTAAATCGTTATATTTTTTTCCCCCTTGAAACACTTATTTTAACGGACGCCTAAATACAAACACAAATTAAACACAAATTTAACGGACGCCTGACTACGCCCACTTAGTTCTCATCGGGGACCTACCCCTCCGCCCACATTGTACCGTTCCACTCAGTTCCCCTTCCCCACCCAGATTTCATACACTGGCGCCGCCCCTGTTATTAACACATCATATTCAAATCGGGTTAAATTATTAGATTTAATCGCACATAACAGTGCATGAGGGGAGGGGTGTGGTGGGGGAAGGGGGTGAAATGTTTTGAGATAAACATCTTGCACATATGTCACCCCATTGGACAATTATTGTTTGGAAGTGGTAAAATGTAAAATAGAATCCATCGTTAAAATAATATCTAAGAAATAAGTAATTATGTGAAACTATCATATTTCATTTTTACTTTTTAATAAATATACTGATAATCATTATTAATTATTATGTATTTTTCTGTTTATCAGTTATTCATTCCATCAGTAACGCCATATTGTCATATTATTTAGTTGGATTGCTTAATAGACTGTACTAATATTCATCTGAAAATAATAAAGTAAAGCAGGAAAACTAATTTTATAAACATTTAATTAAAAGAGGAACACCAGGAAATATAAAAAAAAACCTAACACACACACACACACCCACTGCTTATCATTAAATCAGGATTAATCTAACTCGTTGATCGAACCATGAAACCTATACATGTAAAACATAGGCCTATGCTACTAAACAGGAACTATCACCAACAAAAACCATGTTCAATGACGTCACCACCTGCCAAATCATCGAATTTATAATGAGGTTTTCTCTATGAACACGCATGGGCACAGTTTATTGTTGAGTACCAGGAGTACGAACACATGTTTACGCACCAATAACACGAGGTTTCATCGATAGGAACCATTAGGAAAGTGTTTCAATCTTGCTTAAAAATCATCTAATATTATAGACATTATAAATGATAGCTATATTTTCGTATGAGTACAGACAAACGAAAAATTATCGGATTTTTTTGCTTTTTTCGGTGAAATATAGGCCGCGAAATGCCGATCAACAGTGCATCCAAAGAACAATAGTTGAACTATGAACCATTTAAACTGCGCATAGGGTTTTACTATTGGAGTAACATCGGACACTTGGTTTGTTGTTCATGTCCTCGCCTCCCACTGCGGTGCTGCGCTGTTGAAGCCGGT